ATTTTAGCTTTCTTGAAGTTCAAATACCATTTGTACGTGGGATCTAAGGGTTAAATCCTAGTGGGTTCGCATCAACATTCCACTACAATAACAAAACAAATTCCAAAGAAGCAAGCATAACAGAGAAACAAATCCCAATAGAATCAACTATCTTAAAAACAAAGATCAAAGATGGTGTATCCGATTTGGAGATTCTTCTGTTACTAGTAGTCATAGACAACGAGATAAATACAATATGACTACGTAATTAAAGAAAAAGAAAGAAAAAAAAAAGTATACTTATCCTAGATAATATTTATCAGACAATGATAATATCCATTCTCCTCCATCACAGAACCAATAAAAAACGCATTTTCCGTTTAGAGATACCAATCACACATTTCGGGCACTAAGGTAAGATCAAACCAATATCTTTGCTGTCACTCTAGATACAGCCATATCGCGAACACACTTGACAATCCCAAACACAGTTTTAACGCATATACGTCAATAACTTAATGGATTGGAAGGAAAAGAGAGAAATATACCTAACACCGGCATCACCAACAATCCCAATACCATACCAGCGGAGAGGCCGGCCAGGCCACAAGCGCGACCAGAAGAAAGATGAGCATAGCCATCGAAGAGGTAATAAGATTTGGCCTTAGGGTTAATACCAGTACTGTTGATAACAGCTATGATGAGACCGTATATACCCAGCACTCCACCCATAACCACCGGCACGATTGACTTCATCACCAGCTCCGGCCTCATCACTCCCATCGACGCAACCCCGACCCCGCTCCTCGCCGTCCCGTACGCAGCTCCCATACCTGTAATGGCAAAACACCAAATCAAAACCCTAGATCCAAACCAATCGAACCGTAGATCTGAATTGGAAAACAGTAATAGGCTCGAAATTGAACAGAAAATGTGTGAATTGGAATCAAATTTTGGATTTACATGAGAAGACGAGAGCCGCGGCGGCACCGAGGAAGCCAACGAACGGCGCCGTTGAAAGTCGACGACATTTTTTTCTTCTCCGGGAAGATTAGAGTCTGACGAAATTCTGTTCGTCGATTTCTGAAATTTCCTTTCCCTTTTTTGGTTGGTTTGGACGATCGGACCTTTACTCTTAACTAATATTTTTGAGATAATTACTTAAATTGTCATGAATTTTAAATGAGGATCAACATATGCCAGTGCTCTACAAACTATTAATTTTTTTTTTGCACGACTTTATATACCCTCAAAATAAGTTAGGGGTTTTACTCCTTTTTCCTAGATCTTTCTCTTCTCTACTTCTCTCGAGACTCCTCAGACACCGCCAAAGACCGTCGCCGCCTAGCCATATCATCAATATCTCGCCGCTCAACATCGATCTGCACCCAAGGCGATCTCCCGATGCAATAGCTCATTGATCTGCAACCCTTCACGTCACGGAGGTTCAGATCCGGGAATATAAATGGCGAAGCCGCCGCCGCCGCCACCGTAGGTCCAGATCTCACCGGAGGAGAGATCTCGTGTCCATGAGTGCGATGCTAGTATCTCCCCGTGCAACCGTGCGATGCCGACGGAGATATCCCGGCGCAACCGTGCGACGTCGCTTGAGATGGGATCTCACCACCACAAGTACCCGATTGTCCAGCAGATGAACGTGGCGTTCGTGAGTAGCAGCCGCTGGCACGGAGCCATCGAGCGAGGATCTAAACGTATACGAGCGCTTGACAATGGAAGGGGTCCCTCCGCCACCTTTCGCATTTCGCAAATGCGGTTTCAGACGAAGTTCACGCAAGAGCCGAAGGAGAGGATGCTGGAGTTCGTCGAGAAGGTCGAGTGGAGGATCCAGAAGCAAGATGAGGAGGTGGTGGAGAATTGTTGATTAAGTTTTGTGTCTGTGATGTTGTAGATCTAAGTTTTGTGTTTTTTGTTTCTTTGTTGATATAAATTTCAATGATATGAGAATTTGTGGATTTTGTGGTTTTTTTTTTATGATTTTGAAGTGTTCCGGCGACGGGAACGATCGTAGTGCTGCCGATATTGGCGGCTTTAAGCCGGTATCGTCTTGAATACCCACCATTTTCAGTGGCGGATACCGGCATCTAGGTGGATACCGGCAGTTACTGATCAGTAACCGAGTGGTAACAAAGCGGACACCGGTTACCGTCAGTTGTCCGCCGATTGCTGCTGCTAACACTGGCGGTTGTCTGTCATGTACCTCAATTGGATGCTAGTATCGTGCCTGAATACCAACCGGTATTTTAAGAATATATTTGGTATTTTAAATATAATTTAATGACTAATTGTGATATTCTCTATAATAATTTGTCTCTTAGCAATTTAAGCTTAAAACATGTAACACTTTTTTTTTAAAATTTAATATTTTTTTTTAATTAAATAACTACAACAATCAAAAGTTATTAATCACGAATAAAATATAAAAATTCAAATTGTACGCTCTACATGTAAATTAGCAATTTTCTCTTAAAAATTTTAGACCCAAAAACTAGAAGAATTTGGCTTGAAAAATTTTATAACCAGTATAAAATTTATGTTCTCATTTTGTCGTTTTGCATATTAATAATTTGTAAGGCACATAATTTTGAGAAAATTACACCAAATTACAGAGGTAAATTAACAAAATATATTCATTAATTTTCTCTATAGGAACATATCATACGCACACGATGCCAAAGATGCCAGCCCTCACAACCACGTTAGATGTTATCATACTCGAGGGAATAATAATAAACGACACATGTTAATGTCTCGTTTCGTTCTTAATTAACAATGTCTTTAACTACAATGTTACTCATCATACGAGGGACTAATCAATCTAAAAATTAAGACCTCGCTCACTTCACGAATTCAAATTTTTAATTCGAGCTAAGATATAATATTTTCTGAAAATTTTTTACTGTAGTAGAAAAAGTTAGATGTGATATTTTCTAAAAAATTTTACTGTAAAAACCTAAAACTGAAAACTCGAATAAGTGAAATAAACAAGATCTAAATACTTACACTAAGACCTCGCTCACTTCACGAATTCGAATTTTTAATTCGAGCTAAGATATGATATTTTTTGAAAATTTTTTACTGTAGTAGAAAAAATTAGATGTGATATTTTCTAAAAACTTTTTACTGTAAAAACTTAAAACTGAAAACTCGAATAAGTGAAATAAACAAGATCTAAATACTTACAAATACATACATATATATATATATAACTTCTAAAAAAAGTTGAAACATTTATTAAGCTACTAATATCTCGAGATTTCATTGATTAAGGATCAATAAGCAATAGTTGTTTATTATTTCTGTTGCCAACGGATCACTTCGAACATTTTAAACGAGTACAACGCTACAGTAAAATATGACCACTGCATTTAAAATTTACCGTCTCCTTTCACATGACACACCCATGTCACATGCTCTCTTTTCGTACTTGACTATTGCCGCACTAGAGTCTAGTACTCTTGACTTTGAGGTAAATAATTGTCTGCTATATAACGGTTATTGGCTCGAATATTAAAAAAAGAACGGCAAAAAGAAAACAACCAACATCTAGTAGAATACAAAGAATGAACGGAAAATAATGGACTTTGGACTTCTCAAAATAAGAAAGCCTAAAAAAATGCCCAACATCAGTAACCCGAAGGATCTCGAGAGGTCAGTTCTTGAGTGGTGTGTGATGTCATTGGGAACTTATGCATTTATACGAAAGAAACAACCGAGTGTCCTGAACATATAGAAAACTGCACCTTATGCATCTTCCCAACATTATGGATCATCCCAACACTGACTTCCCACCCTTTGTTATCATCTCTGATCTATCAACAGCTAGGAATAGTATCAGAAATCAGAACTATAAAGAGAAAGGACCAACGCATTAAAAATGGTGGTCGAAACATCTATCGCCCAAGTTCGATTGTCAGCAGCAACCAGTAGATCAAAGAGGAAATTTCACCAATTACATTTAAATGCTCGTCTATAATCATAAATGTAGAGAAATAGAAGGCATACCTCTTGCCAATAGCCACATTGTGTTTTGCCGTCCTAGCAACAATGAAGAATAGGTGTAAGCATCAATGTAATGGAAGATAAAAGGCAGAAAGAAAAAGGATCAAGTTTCAATCTTCGCACCATAGATGAAAGTCAGTATCGGATAAGCAACGCCCAGGATGACTGAAGCTTGAAATGAATATTGCATTGGCTAAGTCGACTTTTAAGTAAAAACTACCTCACCTTATCTTGCAGAATCTGAATGTAATAAACCGAATTATACAGATGACTGTTATCACAAAGTACCCAAACAGCTATGAAAATACTAGGGAGTAGAATTTCAATGCTCTAAATATAGCAGCAACTAATGGAAAATGTAAAAGTTTGCTCAATTTTGAAGAGCAAGAAATTAATGTTAAGACTTGAAAAGTCAGGAGAAATGATGAACTCAGTACTTTAGGCAATGAATGAAAAATATTCTGTATGCTTCTTGTCGCTAAAACAATCCTACACTGTACAGATTGGAAAACGGAAAAAAAAAAAAAAAAAAAAAAAAATGAGTCAGGAACAATTAGTAGTATCTAATCTCTAGGGATCCCAAATAAAAAGTAGGGTCTTAACTTTCCACCCTTGGACGCACAACCTTAATGAATGACAAGCAGCTGGCAAACATGATGTTTTCGTATCATGCTTAGCCCAATCAGATGTACAAAGCAACTTGCGTTGAGCCCATCTGTAATGCGCTGATGCTCTTCCAAAATCCGCCTGGCTGCTCTAATCACATTTTCAAGACTGCAACACATTGTAAGCAACATGCATTGAGATTTGCCATATATGATTCAGCAGGCCTCGTAAATGCTATTCCACTCTTCTATTGCACTTTTGTACCATTAAAATCTTATTGGCAGTTTGAATCAAGTACCAATGCTATGCCGCACCACCACCAATATGCTATTGACACAGGCGCCAAATACTTCTTTATAGCTCGGATGGAAGTGCACCGGAAAGTAACTCCGTTCAACCATCAAGGCCATCACATTTTTATACTCGGCTTCGACGCCATGTGCCTCTCAATCAATGTATCCACAAATGCACGGATCTGCATGTGTAAGGCATCCGGATAAGCTTAGTAAACAATGAATAGGAGAACATTAAATAACTGTCCATTTACGTTCTTAAATATATTTGTCCTAACAATGGCAAGAAGATAGCAACGAGACAACTGAAGTTAATAAAAAAGGGCTATAGGATCAAATGCTTAGTGGTTATTCGTTGAAAAAGGATATGTAATAAGGAGAAACTCAGGAAACCAAACGTGTAAAAATTTCAAAGCACCGGTCACTATCAATTAGGTTTACTAACGAACAACAATGGTGCGCACCTTGTTCCTACGCTTGAAATCAAGAAACTCAGAAACAGCCATGGCTTTCTCTGCATCTGTAGCTTGCTCCATGACCTGCAAGTTGAATTAATAATATCTATCAATGACATATAATCCATTTTAATACTGTTGCAACTTATGCTTTCTTACAAAAAGAACAAAGGAGGAAGTTTAAGATACAAAGAATAACCGACCTTTGTTGCACTTTTCTTCATTATAGACTTGTATCCCTCTCTATCTATTTTTTTAGCTTTATAGAGGGGCATAAGCAATGATGCAACATAGTCTACGACAGCCTGCTTAATACGATCTGCCCCTCGATGATGACTTTTTACAGATTCCTTGTTCATCGTAACCTGTGAAACAGAGCTCTCATTTGCTCGTCCATCACACTTCCAGGTGGGTTGTCTTGAACTTGCATTTGAATCCTCTTCATCCCTGACATGATCAACTGGATCAAAGAAATTGGGATCAGCTGCCGCTGCTTGTGATTGCCATCTCTCAATAGCATGATAATCCTTTACTCCGACACTTCCAGCTGTGTCAACCCATGCTTTTGTATAAATGCTGCTGTCAGCAGCAGCACTCTCTCCTGAGTGCTCTTTGAAGTTCAAATGACTAGCAATCTCATTAGAATGGCTTCGCTGAGAAAGATTATCAGCCAAAATTCTTGAATTATCAAGGTTGACACAGGTGGCAGAGAAATCAACAGACCAGTTCCTGACTCTGCAATTCCTAGAGTCTATTTCTGATAAACAATCTTGTCTCCCCAAAACACCCCCAGACAATTTCCTCCTAAAATCATATTCATCCATTTGAGCATATTGCTCACGTCTAGCAAATTTGTGAAATGAGGGAATCTTAGGAAGCTGCAGCAATGTATTGCTCTTTGCCTCCGAAGACGCATACGCCTGCAAAGCACACAGTCACTAAGTTCATGTAGGAAGACACCAAAACAGAGCCATTCTTCATAAAATAAAATAAAAAGTACAGATACTTGTAGTCCACAAGACAATCTAGGGCACAAAACTATTTGTCAGACAATTTAGTTTCAATCCATTTGTTTTTTTCAGGGTAACACGTAACATCCCTTGTCTCTTTCAAAACTTGTACTATTTTAGAAAGAGAAGATAATTATAATACTCGGGAACACTGTTGGAATATTTCTAAAGGAACTCAAATTAAGAATTTGAGTTGTGTATGTGAGAGAAAAACACCGTAGCAAAAAAGTTGAATTTGAACTTTTTGTGAGACTGTAACAATAGAACTTGAGTTGTGAAAAGAACAAGGCCTAAGTCTAGATAAGAAACAAGATTTGCACATAAAGATTTACAGCAATTCTCAAAAAAGAAAACATAGACCGGATTAACTGAAAATGTAACAATAATCTAACGGACCGTAAGTATTCAAATGACTTGATATGGCTTCGTCATGCAGCAAGTATTTTGCAATGCCGTGCTAAGATTTGACATCAATAAACTGCTATAACAAGAAGAAGACCAAGGAAAACAAACCTCAACAGCCGCAAGAGCAGCAGCACGGGCTGCTTCTGCAGCAGCAATGGCAGCTTTTTCTTCTTCTGTCATAGCAGCACCATCCTCTACATCAGTATCCAATATTCTTGTTGAACCTTGGGACCTTAAAGAATTGTTTTCTGGTTTTGAGTAAGTTGCTGATTCTAGCTTGGCCACTTTTCCATTCACTTTCTTTACATTTGCACTTAAAGATAAATGGCTTCCATTGGATGCAGAAACCTGAATATTTCCTCTGTCCACCAAAGCGCCATGATTTGTGTGTAGAGGTGGCTTAGCTGCTGGATCTCTAACAGATTTTGTAGCTGATTGCCTTGAGAATTTCAATCCCCCATTGGAAGCTTTTTCCTTGCGGAAGACTTCTAGCCACACATTAACCAGTTGACTTGCTATGCCACGTATATCACGGCTAGTATGAACACAAACTTTCTCTTTTACAGTTTTCCCTATGCCTGCGCCAAAATAATAAACAACTTGCATTCATCAACATTTCACCTTGCATTCATCAACAAGGGGGAAAAAAATATGGCAGGGAAAAAAAGTAGACAGAACAGACTGCAGAGGTATTTATGCATGTAATCACTTTATGTTTATATGTAAATACATACGTAAACAACTGCACATCAAACTTTTAGCATATTTGAATTATAATTTCAATCAAACTTATTGCATCCACGGTGCTGGTTGCTATTTAGTCCATCAACCACCTATTCCTAAAGTAACTCGTAGTGACATTGCACACAAGTAACAGCTAGAAGTGAAGGAAAGCTCAAAAACCAATTAATTAATTCATATTAGGAGATTATATGTAAGCAGGCTAACATGAATGCAAATCTTAGACACAAAACCAGAAATAAGATGAAATACCAGATAAACGCACGGCAAGTAAGTCTGTTGAAACAAGAACAAGAAGACGAACACAATGCCGCAAGAGTTGGGTGCCATCCTTCCCCATCGAGTCCTGTAATAACGACAGAATTTGCACCATTAGCAATGTCGCCTATAAAATAAATACTAAATGTGTCAACAGCAAAACACCATACAGACTAAATTCATATATAAGTTGACTTAGATATATTCTTTCTTATGCAAAGGGGAAAAAAGATTATTTAATGATGTATTCATGACCAATGAGATGAAATATACCAGTATCCATGAGTTGAGAGTACTTAGCCCTTCTTTGGTGCCAGCAAAAGACTTTAAGGTTTCAACAGGAAGAGTCAACAACTCTTTAACCAGATGCAGCCGTGCAGCATTGGTTTTTGCATTAAAGAACATGTCCTGTAGAAGAGCTTCCCTGGTCAAACTTTGGGTTCCATCCAAAGAGTCCTTATAGAGGACATTGGAAAGTTCAACTGCATCAAGCCTCCTTGCTATGTCTCTAACTTCATCCCTTTCAAATTCCGACTGTCTATGTACAGCTTCCATTGCCTCTACTTCTGCTGTGTAATCGTTTCCAGTCGTCAATATATCAATTATACGAACCGCTTCTCGAAGCCCACTCATCATAGCACCACCAACCGTGTCAGGGTGCTCCTTGCAGGTTGCTTCACCAGCAAAAAATAAGCAGTTCTCAACAGGTCTGCCTAATATGTCATAGTCTTCTCCAGAAGCACCAACAGCAACATATGAGTAGGCACCATAGCTGAAAGGATCCCTACCCCAATCTGTCACAACTGATGCAACCGGATCAGGTACTATCTCCTCCCCAAACAACTTACGAAGAACTACTAATGCATGGTTTACATGGTCGGAAGAAAATCATATTTTGACCATCTATCGCTGCCTTACCAACTAGCAGCGCTATAAGAACAGGAGCCCCTACTGTTTTTTTAACATTCCAGAACATAAAGCACTGCCCTCTCCTATCTGTTTCCTCAGCAGTTGCTCCAAAGTAATCCACAGAGTCGTCCCAAAACACATCTGGAAATTCCAGAACTACCTTGTTAAGAATTCCAAAGCCAAGCCGCTGGACAGAAGACTGTTTCCACTGGGGTAATGGAGGTGAAAATTTTATTGTTTCTGCTTTCAGGCAGCCAAGTGGCACTGTAACCAAGACAGCATCGCCATGAAATTGACCACCATTTGAAGTAGAAACTCTTACTTTATTAGACTGGCCATCTAGAACTCCAGAAACCTTGGTGCTATATGAAATGTCTGTGACCACATGCTTCAAGTGAATACAAAGTCCTTCTCCAAGCGACTCAATGACAGTGCTGTAACCCCCCTTAATCATGCAATGAGCTCCTCCAAAGCCACCATATACATCATCTTGGTTCCAGTAGGGAAGAGATACTTCCTTAAGTAGGGCGGCACAACCATACTCCAAGTTGGCAAAATGCCAATCCATAACCCTTCTCTCAAGAGGACTCAAAAGCTCTTCAGTAGAATAATTTTTGCCAGGAACTCTGCCATCACTACTTGTTTTCAAATCCACAAAACCATCCACAGCAAGGTCATGTTTTTTTTCATCCACATTCACCCCTACTCGTGCCATACGACGCCTTTGGAGGGCATATTCCAAACCCTCCTCAAGAGACATTTTCGTAGCATGTTCTCCCTTCTGTGCAACGAGAAATATCATATCATCAAGAAGACTGTTGTATTCAGCTTCCAAAGCTTCATCTAGATCTGAAGGAACTTTTTGAGCTGTTACAATGTCATAGAGGGGGCAATCACTGTTCAATATGGTCAGCTCCACGCCCAACTGGGCACAAATCAATGATGAAGGATCTGGTCTTCTTTCAGTGTCCACATCAGCCTCCACACCAGTAATAATGCTAGCACCAAGATCCACTGGAACTGATAAAGATGACCGATCTGTGTAAACACGACCTCCAATTCTACTCCTAGCTTCCAATATGGTGACAGAAAAACCTTGTCGTTGCAATTGCCGTGCAGCAGTTAACCCAGCTGGACCAGCCCCTATAACAATGATTTTCTTTGGAACATCTGCATCACGTTGCAGATGATGATGATTCCTTTTAGCACCATCATTAGCTGCAGGTTGAATATGGCATGAATCATTTTTTGTATCTAGCGTTGTGATAGGGACTTGGTCAACTTCCAATATCTCACAAGACAGTTCAGTACTTCCAACATCTAAATTCACCAATTTCTCCGCCAATTTTGCATTGATGCTACAATTTTCACTAAAATCACCAAAGTGTCCTTCAGGTTCCGTCTCATTGGCTGATTCTATTCTTGCATTTGGAACACACTCGCGCTCTTTTATTGCTTCATGTGTCAGGTTTTCACCATCTGAAAAAAGTCTATTCTTCGCTTCAATTGAAGCTTTAGAACTCTTAACCTGACCAATAATAAAAGAAACTCCATCCTCTGAATCAGCAACTGAAAGACCAGAACCTTCCACAAAATTCTTTTCCCTAAGGAGTTTATAGTTTTGCTTATGACCAGATTCTGCATTTTCCTTCTCAGATGCAATTCCAAAATTGATATAACCCTGTTCACAAGTTTATTGAAATAATATAACTTTTTGAAATCTAAGCTGAGCACAAAGAATAATTCTATCGTCCAGATTAACAGAAAAGTTACTGAAAAAAAAAAAAGGAACAACCCTGACGTTAAAAAAATATAGAGAAGTGATAAAGAAAAAGGTGAAAGAAACTAAAGCTTACACTCTGGTCAAGAAATGCATATATCTCCCTAAGCAGGGAATCATGTGGTGATTCATTAGCAGAAGCCTTTTCAGTAACCCCACAGTCAGAGAGAGGCAATATCCGACTGACGTCTTTGTTCCAGAGACCTAAGATCTGATTCCTGCATTCCACCAAGTAACAAAATTTTCACCAAGTAGAGTCTATCAGAGAGACACAAAATTGGAGGAAGAAGAGCCCGAAACAGGTAAAGATGGAAACAGGAAACTAACATGCTTCTTATTCTTTTGTGAGAAATGGGCAAGGCGTCACATTAAAAAAAATACATCACAAACAATTGCACTTGAAGAGTAACACGAGAAATCTTACAAGATGAAGTTAAGATATCAAAAATCCCATTCCATACTCCATAAAGTAAAAAAATTCTAGAAAATAGTATTAAATGGATATGAATCAAGAGACCAAACTGGTACCAGTAACTTGACAGAATAGCTCAGTAAAATAGATACAGCAACTCTCACACATTGGAGAATTGATACTAGACATCTAAAGGCAACAATCCTATTTTACAGCCAGATTCAATGAAGAGATAATACTAACCTGCATTCCAAATAGTCCTGAAGCCCACCTCGGCGCTTCAAGATCTCCTTAAATTTAATCTTCTCAATAGGGCCAACGGCATGAGCTTTAAGGCCTGCTGATACTGCCGCTGCCCCACTGCCTTCCCCATCAGTAACAATACTTGAAGAAGGATTGGATTTTGATCTCGCTCTAAATGAGCGGTCACTATCCATAGGGCGTTGACCTTCAAGAAAACCTTGCTCATCTATCAGAGTCTCCCAGTCAGCATCCCCCTCATAAGCCATGTCTCCATGCCTATGCTTTTTATGCTTACGTGTAGCACGATAAGCAGATAGTTTACTCTCTTTGTTTTCAGTGTCCGGTAAAGATACTGTATCTTCTTGGTAACTCTCATTTTCATCTGGAGCCACAGATAGAGGAGAGCCCCCATGAGTCTCCTCACCAACGGAAACACAGGTTGTGTCCTGAGCTTCCAGATTTTGATGTAATGCAGAACAGCACTTATAAATAGCATGAGCAGATTCATCATAAGATTCATTTTTTTCTATAAGAGTCTTCAAAGATATCTCTTCGCCATTCAACTGGAAATTACACCCCAGCTCATGTGCTCCAGTACAAGTGGTATGAATTGAAGATATCCCGCCATTACAAGTCACAGCACTCTCCTTTTGCAGATTACCTGAAGCGTCATCTTGCTCCTCCGTGTAAGTATCTGGGCCATTACAGTTAGTGCACGTCTCTTCCTTCAGTAAATCAGAGTCAGAGCAAGACATGAGCCGTTGACCTCTCGTACATGGTTCATAATCAAACTCATTTTGTCCACAATTTAGAGTTATTTCTTCTCCTGCAGAACAATGGTTCAGGCCATCCTTAACAATGCAAGTTTCAGAGGCAGCCTTCTGGCCAGGAGATAACCTACTATCTCCATCACAAACTTTACTTGGGCTACATGGATCCACTGCAAGCCCCTCTTGAGCAGTTGAACTGCGCTCCATCATCGCTTCATCACGAATCACTTTGGAATAGCATTCTGGAATAACTTTGGAAGGCCTATTCTGTTCTCTATCATTGGATCTCATGCTCTCAACTGATGAAGAACGATCTCGACTCATATCATGACTCCCTTTTAGACTCGAGTTTGGGCGAGACTTCCTCGTTACACCAGATTGTGCCCTGCGAAGAAGTGATGATAAGGAGTCCTCCAATCGATCATTTGAAGAATGACTAGTACCTTCCTCAGGCAGCACGCCCGAAACATTCTTATCCTTCAAAAGGGAACAGCCAGATCCCATAGACTCCAAACCAACATCATCTGTCTTCGTATTCGAATTAACCCTGGGTCTCTTCACCTTTCCTTTAGGCTTGTTCTCTACTCCAATGTCCACAGTCATATCAGATCCACCATCTTCCACTAATGAACCTTTCCCAGCACCTTTTGACACCGATTTTGCATCTGAACCACCTTCCTCCACAGGCGGATCAGAAGACTCGATCACAACCGAAGCAGAAGTCTTTCCCCTAATCGTCCCAGAGACCAAATCCTTCTTCGAAACCTTCAATTTCTTCCATAAAATCGCCAAAGTATCATCCATTCCCCCCAAATCCTCATCTCCAACACCACCCCTCTTGCCCCTTCCAACGGTCCCCTCCAATCCCGGCTTAACCTTCTTAGGGTTCCGTGCCCTCTTCAACTTCAACAACGACCCAATGGGCTCGTCATCATTCGAACCAATACCAATCTCGATTTGCTTCGATCTTTTCTTAGTGCCAGACTTTTTATCGTCCCCATCCATCTTGTTATCAGCCCTATCTTCCCAAAACAACCTCCAATAATCCACAATTTTCTGCAACCCTAACCCAGCTTCAACGCCCAAACCAACAAGCAACGATCACGAACACAAATCATCACCTTCCAGTTATCCAATTTCGAGGAAACAAAGCTCATTCTTGGTCTGCCACACGCTCTTTCAAGCTGTGACGACAATGAAAAACGAAGCTAAACATTGAACTAATACGCATCGAAACCTATATATCCACGAAACTTTTGCAAATAAGATTTTTGTAGAATGATTCTGTTTCTTTTTTTGTCTCAATAAAGCTTCTCCCCAATCAATCAATCAACGTACCGTCCGAATTTTCAGTCCACTCAATCCGAAGAAAAGAAAATCCAATAAATAAAGAGGGAAAAGGGAAAGCGAAATCAGGCTAGGGCTTTTGAGAGAGTGACTAAGCCCTAGTAGAGAGAGAGAGAGAGAGAGGGATTGGGGATAGGGATGTCGGACCTGTGAGTGAGAGAGGACGCAGAAGCTGTGATTGAGTGGCGTTAATGGATTTGTCGACGACAGTGAGATGCGCACGTTAGCGTCTCCTTGTGGAATTGGTGAGGTCGCCTCTATAAAAGTGCGCCGCTCCGGTTTTAGGATTTTTTTTTTTTTTTTTTTTGAGCAATACGGTACTAGGAATTTAAACGAACAGAAAAAAATTAAAAAGAAAAAAAAAGGGAAAATCTAACATCTAATAATACATAACCGTCAAGGTACTCTCCCTTAAACTGCCACGAGGCCACTTCTCCTCCGTTTTTTTTCTTTTTTTCCTTCTTTTCCTTCTTTACAGTTTTTTATCTTTTATCTTTTTTCTTTTAAATTTTTACTTTCTATTTTTTTATTTCCGTAAATCTTTTTGGGTTTTTAGTGTATTTTCTTTTAAATTTATCGTAATTTAATAAATTATCCTTAAAATTTTTAATTTTAATAAGTTATCCTTTTAATTTAGAAAGTTATTATAATATGTCTTATTTTAACAGCAATTTGTGTTAAATTAGTGTCAAAAAACACGTTTAGTTAAAAATTTTAACATTATAATTTAAATGTAACACAAATATTTTAATATCTCAATTTTTAATCTCTTAAATTTAATAAAAATTTAAGCAAATTTAGTTAAATAGGACACATTGCAACAAACTTACAAGTTTGGAGGACAACTTTCTAAAATTAAACGTTTAAGGGGTAATTTGTTAAACCATGACAAGATCAGAGAGTAATTGTATCAAAAATCTAATCTTTAAAAAAAAAAAACAAACTTTTGATCACTTTGCTCCAATGAACATAATGTATTTTACTTAATTGTTTTTTAGTAAATTAATTTTCTTCAAATGTATCCATACTTAATTTTCTTTTAGTAAAATTCTTGTTATATCAAAAAATTATCCTTACACAATTTTTTTTCTATAGTGCTCCCTCAGAGTAATTTCCACGTTGCCATGTGATAGCCCTCAACCCTTTTTTTTATTATTTTCTCCTTTTCTCCTTTTATTATTTTTTATATTTAAAATGTTTTTCTTTTATTTTTTTATTTTATGAATTTTTTTATAATTTAATTGTGTTTACGTGTGTTTTTCTCTTTTCTGATATTCTTTTGTTTTTTATGCTTTTTTTTATTTTGTCAATGGCTCTTTTATAGTTTTTTATGTTCACGACTATTTATATATCTAATCTAACGTCTAACGTCTATAAAAGCAACCTAGTCGACTTAGAGCATCCCCAATGCAATGTTATAATTGATGTGTCAATTGTAAATTTAACATTTGAGTGTAAAAAAAATTCTCCAATACAACATTATTTATTGTGCTAAATTTTCCATAAGCTATACTTTGTGACAAATTTCCCACCAAGTATATCATATGAGAAATAGCATTATGCCTTGGAGCAAAAATAAGAATAACATACCATATCATACTTTTTAATGTTAAATATATAATTAGCATTAACATTAACACTTGTATTGGAGATGGTCTTAAGAGGCCATGTGTTGGCTTCCTTATTCTTCTTCTTTTTTTATTCTTTCTCTTTTTTAAACTTTTTCTCTTTTAAATTTTTTCATTTTTTGCCTATTGTCTTTTTTATTTTTCCCCTTTGAGAATTCGTTTACTTTTTATAGTATTATTCTTTAAAATAATTTCTTTTAATTAAAATAATCTTTTCAAATATATCCCTATTTTTTTTATCAAATTCTCATCTTTTTATTTTTTTATTTGTTATATTTTCTTCTTTTCGTTTGCTTATTGACTTTTTTCTCTAACATTATTTGACTGCTACATTTTTTTTTACAATATCCTTCTTTAAAATACTTTCTTTTCCTTACTCTATTTTAATTAAAATAATTCCTTTCAAATGTTCCCATAATAAAGTTTTTTTTCTTGTTCAAAAACTCTTATATAATTTTAATTCTTTTTCGATATAATTTTTAAATTTTTTTTCTCTTGCTCTAATTAATGGACTTAACTTCTAATGATCCTACGTGTTTTGACATGAATATTAAATTTATAAAGTTATTCCTCACGTGCATAGCACGTGGCTCAACTAGTATAAATATAAGTAAGAAATGCATCGACGAGGGTCATTTCCACACTATTTTTGTGTGCGCTCGTTTGTGTCTTTTTTTTTAGATTAAAAAAAACTAGTTCAATAACCTGCTCTGCATGTTTTACCGTGTGAAAGGCATTTAAACGGTATTTTATTTAGAGAAATGTTGTCGTTACTCTTTGTCACTTTATGCATCTGTTGTTTTACACATATACTCCACCATTCATTTTTTTATTTCAATGATAATATTTCATATTAGTAGAGTCCACATGCCAAACAATGAAGGCAGAAAGTGGCAAAGAGAGTGACAGAAAAGTGCACTAGCAGTTTTCTTTTATTATAATAAATAGCACTTATTATACTGACCCGTGTGTTTTAAAAGACTACAATAACATCCTCATCACTGAAACTAATCACATAAACACCCTTCAATTTTTTAAAAAAATTACAAGCCACCCCCTCCATTAATTGACCGTTAAATTTTTAAAAAAGGCCTAAAATGCCCCTCTAGGTATCAAAAAATGTTTATTATCTATATATTGTTGGGAATTGTGTCCTAGAAGCATGAGATTTAATATGATATTTATTATTTATTTAATAAAATAGTTTATCATTATTTTATGTGCTTATATTATTGAATATTTTATGAATATCACTAAAAATTCTATGATTATTTATGTGACCTTAAATATTGTATATAAGTGTTATATGCGAGAGGATAATATTTAAGGATAATAATCAAAACGATGTTCGTAATGATTTTAATTAAAGTTTAGAATCTTTAATTAAAACATTATTAATACATGTAATTCTCGTTCATAATGGAACGGTGTTATCCGCACTGTTAACATGGAGAGATATTGAATGAGTGTATTACGCATAATGAGATTATGTGGAGTATGGATATAGACATAATATGAATTTCTTATAATTTTCGTTGAGTATATAAATTCTAATTGAGTCTACCAATTGTCATATATAGAATGATCTTAATCCTGAGTTATTAGCAGACTTATATTTGTGATTTATGTATTTTTCTTTACTCGGTATGGATTCTGAGATGCTGAATTATATTCCTTGTATTTTGGAGACATGATGAAGTGAGTAGCTGAGAATATTATTATACAAGATAGAATCCATTCCTTTTTGAAAAAGTAGATAAATAATTCTCTTAAGGGTTGATTCGGTACTTGGACTAGTATGAGCTCCAATTCGTGAATTTATTTTATGAATCACTGTCTATTAGAGATTCAATGGTACTCAAGTATAAAGATCTAATTAGAGAGGTTAACGGATTTCACCTAACTCTAATTATGAGTTATTTATGGAGGATTGATCTATATGTAATGACTATACCAAATGGACACTTCACAGTTTAGAAGTAATTTATGTCTATAATTACACGAGTGCAATTCCAAGTTTATAGTAGAGTAACTTTTAGAATTAATAGAATTAATTAGTTAATTAAAGAGTTTAATTAATTATTAATTTTATTGGAGCTCGGATTATAGGTCCGTGAGTCCCCGCGTCGTCCTTGTAATTCTACCAGACACAAAGGACAAAATGGAAATTTTAGAATTATGGAATTCTAAAATTAAATACTCGAAAAATAATTAATTGAGAATTAATTAT